AAAATTAAGTAAAAAATAATGCCATAATAAATTTTAACCACATCTTGTGGACAGCCTACAAATATTTTCATGGATAACTTAACATGTTTTCAAATTTAGTTTTTCTTGATTATACAAAATTATTTCCGGCAAATCACTTAATAAAAATTATGATTTTAACTTTCCTTTAAAGTAATTTAGTGAATACCCAAGAGCGTTTAGATGAGATGGCTTTAGTCTCTTCCAGCTTAACCAGTGGTCTCGTGTTCGAGCCCTGGGAATACAGCAGTGTTAAAATTCTTGAGGGAGAGCTTTGCCGCCCTTGTGGTCCTACCCGGCTCGATTCCGAATTAGTCGGTTCCGCTGAGGATCCGAAAACCGGAAGGTCCCTGTACCAAAGAAAAAAAGTAATTTAGTGAATCAATATTATTTTACATATTTTTTTATAAAGTGTTTTTGATAAATACTTAACCTTTTTATATATCAATATAGATTAGCGTCTAAAACGAGTCGAGCAGTTCGTTAAGACTCGAGTCAACGCTTGGCTCAAGCTCGTGTTTGTTCGAGTTCAAGTATTTCAAATACGAACTGAAGTTCAAGCATGCAGTTTGTACTCTCGATAAGTAATATATGTAAAATTGCCTAGTTATCTCTCATTAAACATTTTTAATTGAATGTCTAACTTGAGCAAACTTCGAGCCAATCTCGTGCGCTTGTGGTTTATTTTCAAGTCGAGCCATGAACAAGATAGACTCATCGAGCCTCGAGCAAGACAGACTCATCGAGTTCGAGTAGTTGTCAAAAAAAAATTTGAGCTTTGCTCGTAAAGTCAATGTTCGACTTAACTTGACTCGTCTGCAGACATAATTAATATTAACTTTATTTAAATGATAATTTAAGTTAATAATTATTTTATTTTAGTACTATAATATATGCCACTAGTACAATTAAAAAAAGTCAAGTATTAATATATTTTAAATAAAAATATTTTTATTTATTTATATATACATATATATTTTTATCGCTATTATTGATCTATATATTTATTATTAACAATTTTCTTTTTTTTTTTGAAAAAAAAAATTATAGTTGAATTACAATTACAAATTGTGAAACGCTAAACACCGCCCCCTTTTCGATTATTACCGCCCCCCAAAAGTCAAAATTACCCTCCACCTCATTTATCTCTCTCTTCTACTC